TTCTCAGTGCGAAGAAGGAAGTGGCCCTTTTAGCCTGAGCGGCCACATCCAGCAAAGTACTGTCCTTTCAAAAGGGAGATGGGCCGCGTGAGGCAGAGCCGGGGGACCTGCTGCCTGTGGAATCTGCGGAAATGGTTAATGATGCGCTCGCTGCAGGGAAGAGCACACTGAACCGCGAAGGAGGTGACGGGAGGCAGGAGGGAGTGGGGAGCCCAGGAGGTGTTGGGCATGTGGAAAGTCCACCATACCAGCGCCACTCAAGACAGCCCTGACAGCGCTGATTGAGTTTAAGATGGAGCCAGAACCCCAGCCAGTGCCGACTGAAGGACAGGTGACAGTTCATGCCATGTGTTCTGAAGTCAGCATTTTTTACTGATTTTTTTTTTTTTTTTTTTTTTTTTTTGCTATGATTGGTCAAGTTTGCATTTTATGGGTAACTGCTAAGAAAATAGGAATAGATTGTTTAACTTTGAAACCAGTAGAGCAAAACCCAGTCTGGTAAAAGCAAGAAAATATAAAAGAAGAAAGCTTTGCAAATCATATGAGAAAAGACTGCAAAATAAGTACAAACATATTGGTATGCATAGCAAAGTGGATCCTATTGCCAGTAAAAGAAATCCTCAGATTGGATAAAATAGCAAAGCTAGCCATAAATGCTTATGAGAGATACATAAGGGTACAGAAGATTTGTAAGTAAATGGATGGAGAAAGAAATAGAATGCAAATTCTAACCAAAGTATTGCCAGTATCACTATAATAATACACTAAACGTTAAGCCATAAAGCAAGGAATAATTCATGAGGAGGATATGTAACAGTTCTAAACTCATATGCACCTAACAGCATAGCCTTAAGATATGTAAGCAAACTATAACAAGGCTTAATCAGAAATACGTAAATACACTATTGGGGTGAGAGATTTTAAGAAAACTCTCTCTGCTATTGACAGATCCTGGACATAAAATCAGTAAACCGGCCAGACACAGTCGCTCACGCCTGTCATCCCAACACTTTGGGAGGCCAAGGTGGGTGGATCACTTGAGGTCGGGAGTTCAAGACGAGCTTGGCCAACATGGTGAAACCCCGTCTCTACTAAAAATACAAAAATTAGCCGGGCGTTGTGGCGGGCGCCTGTAATCCCAGCTACTTGGGAGGCTGAGGCAGGAGAATTGTTTGAACCCGGGAGGCAGAGGCTGCAGTGAGCCAAGATTGTGCCATTGCACCCCAGCCTGGGAAACAAGTGAAAACTGTCTCAAAAAAAAAAAAAAAAAAAATCAGTAAACCATGAAAGACTAGAACAGCAACATAGTATGATTGATTTGAAGGTCATATACAGATCCTTGAAGCAAGTAGTTCCAGAATATGTATTTTTTTAAACACATGGAATTTTAAAAAAATTATATAGTATGCCTCAAAACAAATATTAACAAATACCAAAGAATGGGTGTTCAGACCTTATTTCCTGATAACAGTTGAGTAAAATCAGTAAAAAAATTCAACACAAACATTTAGAAATTAAAAATAACATATTACTCTGTAACTCATGGTCAAAGATAAACACAAAATAGAAACTAGAAAATATATTGACTTGAATGATAATAAAAACATTACATAAACTATATGGTATAGATTTCAAAGTCTAAGGAATTATAGACATAATGGCATGTGTTCATAAAACAGGCTGGGCACAGTGGCTCACACCTGTAATCCCAGCACTTTGGGAGGCTGAGGTGGGTGGATCATGAGGTCAGGAGTTCAAGACCAACCTGGCCAAGACGGTGAAACCCCATCTCTACTAAAAGTGCAAAAATTAGCCGGGCATGGTGGCGGGCGCCTATAGTCCCAGCTACTCGGGAGGCTGAGGCAGAGAATTGCTTGAACCCGGGAGGTGCAGTGAGCCAAGATTGCGCCACTACACTCCAGCCTGGGCAACAGAGTGAGACCCTGTCTCAAAAAAAAAAAAAAAGAAAAAAGAAAACAAAACAGAGAACAGTGAACTGAGCATCCAGCCAGCTACGTGAAAGAGCAGCAGAGCTGAGGGAAGTGACAGGAAAAAATAATGGGCAAGGCAAAAATGATGAAATAAAAAACCAGGAAGCAACATAAAGTATTAACAAAGCCAAAGGTTGGTTCTTTAAAAATAATACAAAAATAGACAAGCCTCTGGTTATATTAGGATGAAAGAGAGAAAGCGAGGAGAGGGATGGAAGAAGGAAGGACGGAAGGAAGGAAGGAAGAAGTTGATCAAGAGGATGTAACTGCAGTAGAAATTTGTAAAAACCATAAGAGGATGCTATAAATAACTTTTTATCAATTTAGATTAAATTAAAAATTGCCTTGAAGAATCAAATATACCCAAAATAAAAACCATGACTAAACCTATAAGATCCAAGATATTGAATGATTTGCTTAACTGCTGTGCAGAGCAGCCCACCAGGCTCAGATGTTTTTATGCTGGGGTTTACTGAGCCTTCAGGGAGCAGACAAACCCCTCTGTCACATGCACGGTTCCAGTGAATAGCAGAAGCAAGGATGCGGCGTAAATTAGTTTATAATGTTAGGATAAGCTTGTAAACGCCCCTCACCCACAAGGGTTGATGCTACATTTCCTTCCTGAAATGTCAGGAAATTGAATCCAGCGTGACCCTGACAAATAAGCAAGAGCCCATCTTGACCTCTTACATTCATGGCAGCAGCTCAGGATCCTTTGGGAAGTTCTTGTAACACAATTTCCCCAGATTAATGGACATAAACCTGTATGCTCCTCTCAGCATGTGTTTAGAAAGCACTTGCGGAGATTCAATGGCCATCCAACATTAAAAACTCCTGATAGAAGGAAACTCACTTCACTGAATTAAGGACGTGTTCGTAAAATCTACCGCAAATGTAATGGGGAGGACCCCAAGGCATTTATTAATTTATTCATTCCCCAAATACGTTTTGGGCAGTTCCATACCCAGTACTAGATGGAGGTGTGCTTGCTGTCATGGAGACAGAGTGGTTTCATCCTGTCGATCAGGAAAACTGCTAGGTGCTTGCAGGTAAGTGTGCTCATAGGAAGTTACTTAAATAGATGCCACAAATAAAGTGAGGACCAAAGGCTAGTTGCTGTAAAAACAAGTTTGAAATGCATTTTGGGGTAATTTGTCCGGCTGTATTGGGCGTTCCTCGCAGAAGGCGTGGTCTGGTGACTCAGAACCCAGCACAGTGTGGAAGTCCAGCCGTCGGCCGTCTGCCGTGTGGCGAGGTCCAGTGTGTCCCCTTTGTAAGGACAGCACAAGCAGGAGTTAACAGGCCATCCATAGCGGTGGTGGGGCAGGGAGCCAGTTTCCGAGAGAAGCTCATGCCGCCGCAGGAGGGTCCCGTGGGATGTTCTGTGCAGAGCTGTCCTGAGGAGCGGGAGACTGGAAAGCCTGGTGGCTGCCGGAGGGCACCGTGCAGAAGTACCCAGTAAACCACTCACGGCACAGCAGCAGAAAAATGAAGAAACTATATGTGTGTATATTTATAAGAACTCAGAAGCCATGGTGAGCAAAAAGCAAGAGGAGAAAGTGACAGTGTGCTGGCATCAAGTTGCGTTAAGAGGCGCCCGCGGGGTGGTGCACCCGCATTTCCTCTTTCGTTGAGATGAGCCCGTGGGGTGGTGCACTCGAATTTCCTCCTGGCGTTGATAGGCGCCCGTGGGGTGGTGCACTCGAATTTCCTCCTTGCGTTGAGAGGCGCCCGCGGGGTAGTGCACCCACATTTCCTCGTTGCGTTGAGAGGAGCCTGTGGGGTAGTGCACCCGCATTTCCTCACTCGTTTAGAGTTCGGGGCTCTCAAAACACAAGGAGCAAGTGGGAGATGTTATGAAGGCCACACAGGGCCACTTTTCTTCTGTTTTTTTTTTTTTAATTGTGTCAGGGTATACGTAAATATTCGTTTCAGCTAGTTCCGTGTGTACAGTTGAGTGGCATTAGGTACGCTCACTGTGCAGCCAACACCTCCGTAGGGCCACTTTTTAAAAACGCCGGGCTAAGGGCCGACAAGATTGTCATCACGGAAAATAAGTCGATGGCACTGCCCTAGTCACTGGCTCGGTCAGAAAACACACGTCAGGGTGACTGGATTTAACGTCCAGTTTTAGAACCACAAATCTGCGAGCCCAGGCATTCAAGAGGACATAAGTAATTCACTGAATTGATGGTTAGCAAGACCCTTCAAAGTCCTTGGAAGTTCCAAGTATGCTGGGGGCCAGAACAGCAATTGCGTTTCTAAAACGTTGAAAACCACCCATTTTTCATGCCTCTGAATAGCCTGAGTTGTAATAGAGCTAAGGTAACAGCGTCTGAACTTGCCTGATCCTGTGGCCAGGTCCCCGGAGCCCTAACAAGGCACTGAGAGAACTAGATTGATTGATTAGACTCTTGCCAACTGCTGTGCTGAATACAGAAAATGCAGCTCCAGCTCTCAAAGGGCCAAAAATCTAATTGAGGTGAAAAAGATAACATGTCTAAAAACCATGCCTCTGTGGACTTGTTTTATGTAGACCAGAAAAGTTGGAAGTCCAGAGATGGATGCAAGGAAATGGGGGATGGAGTTTCCTTAGAACCTCTGGAGGGAGAGTGTAGACACACACCGGGGTGTGTAGGGGGTGGAGGTTCTAAGACAGGCTGGAGGGACCATCCAGACACACACCGGCGTGTGTAGGGGGTGGAGGTTCTAAGACAGGCTGGAGGGAGAGTGCAGACACACACCGGGGCGTGTAGGGGGTGGAGGTTCTATCACAGGGTTGAGGGAGAGTGCAGACACACACCGGGGCGTGTAGGGGGTGGAGGTTCTAAGACAGGCTGGAGGGAGAGTGCAGACACACACCGGGGCGTGTAGGGGGTGGAGGTTCTATCACAGGGTTGAGGGAGAGTGCAGACACACACCGGGGCGTGTAGGGGGTGGAGGTTCTAAGACAGGCTGGAGGGTCCGTCCAGACACACACTGGGGCGTGTAGGGGGTGGAGGTTCTAAGGCAGGCTGGAGGGTGAGTGCAGACACACACCGGGGCGTGTAGGGGTGCCTTTCTGAGTCCCCTAGTCCGTGGTAGAGGCTGCAGCCCCTCCACTTTTGGGCACATGGGTGTGCTCTCAGGGTGACTCTTGGCTCTTGGGCACGTGAGTGAGCTCTCAGGATGACACTTGGCCCCAAATTTCAGGCAGTTGTGTAAAGACTTGACCTGTTCATCTGCTGAGCTGAGTTGCTGAGGCTGCCGGGTGCCTGGGTGGTGATCATTGCCTGTGGCACACAGAACACACTGCAGCTTCTGCAAAGTGAGCTCATTTCACACATTTTATGGCTTTGCCAGAACTTTTAGTCAGACATTTGGAGGACCCGTTTTGTAGTCAGTGGAGAAATATTACAAGGATAGGGTAATTTCAAATATCTAGGGATTATAAGTGACAAGTTCATGTCTAATTTTGCATTTCCAATGAAAGCAAGTGTTGGTTTTGAATGTTACTTATGTGCTAAGATGTATATATTCCTCAGTGCTTAATTACTAAGGATCTTTAAGGCCAAGTTTTGTTATAGTGAATGATTGTGGGTGCATACAGAATAAATTTAATATTATTAAGGCATGGAGATTATTCTTAAGAGGTTATTTATGTCTAAGAAACCAGGTAAAATAAAGAAACATTTATGCTTGTGTGACTGATAAAAGATTTAGAGAGACTCTAATATTCTGGTATTTTGAAGAATGTCATTTTCATTCTCTAAAAGTCTTGTTAGCATCACAGCATTGAAAATTTAAAAATCTGTGTGTATTTTCTTGCTAGTGCTGGTACTTGAATATCTGTATCATCCACCTATCCCTAGTTCTATAATCCACCATCCATCTACCTGCTTATCATCTGTCCACCAATTCTCTCTCTAATTTTCAAAACATCCCGTAAGTTTATATAAAGGGAGATTTTTCTTCGTGGGAAGTTCTCTAAGGCTGACAAGTTATCTGACATGACTGTGGTGGATGCCCGTAGCCAGGTGGTCCTCAGGGTACAGATGGGGCAGGGGCACTTGTGAGAAACGCCTGAAGCGCTTTTCCCCGGCGCTGCCTGGGTGGTGGAGGCTCTGTACAGTAGCTTCCACGGAGCCCGCCCAGGGCTCTGCAGGGTCCTCAGCATGATTCAGATTTGCCTCCACCCCCAGCTCTAGATGACTCAGTAAAACCACAAACAGGCACAAAACAGCCCACGTGGAATTCTAAAGTTTTAATTTCCTTTTGGAATTTATGCACTCAGATGAAATGATTTATGATGATGTTGAGAATGGGGATGAAGGCGGAAACAGCTCTTTGGAATACGGATGGAGTTCGAGTGAATTTGAAAGTTACGAAGAGCAGAGTGACTCGGAGTGCAAGAATGGGATTCCCAGGTCCTTCCTGCGCAGTAACCACAAAAAGCAAGTATGTGTTCCGGGCACGTGTGAGGGACAGTGCTCTCATGTTGACACGGGCAGGGGGCTGTGAATATACGATTGTGTGCCACCTAGTACTTCTTAGTGATTTGTTAAGATGCTGGTAAGTAGTTTGGGGAAAGCATAAGATATTGGCAAAGGAGAAGACGTCTCTTGTTTCATATAGTTAAGTATCGTCATGGAAGGATTGAGAAATTAAACTTCTGTAAACCACTTAAAAGGTCTTAAATGAGCTCACCACCTGGAATAAGAAAGTAGTTATTCTCTGAATTGCTTGTGTTTTAATGTATTATGTGCTTTGCACGTAGCACCGTTTGCAGAACACTGAGTAGATGGGATCAGGGTTCCCTGAGACACAGCACATCTGCACTTTGCCTTAAGCGAGGTTTTGAACTTTAACATGTTCAGCATGAACAGGAAGAGGTAAAAATAGAAGATGTTAAGGGACAAAAGCTTCTAAACTACCCTGTGACAATCCTTTCTTTCTTTTTTCTTTTCTTTTCTTTTTTTTTTTTTTTTTGAGATGGAGTCTCACTCTGTCTCCCAGGCTGGAGTACAATGGCGTGATCTCATTTCACTACAATCTCCGCCTCCCAGGTTCAAGCCATTCTCCTGCCTCAGCCTCCCAAGTAGCTGGGATTACAGGTGCCCGCCACAACACCTAGCTAATTTTTGTATTTTTAGTAGAGATGGGGTTTCCGCATGTTGGCCAGGCTAGTCTCGAACCCCTGACCTCAGGTGATCTGCCCATCTCAGCCTCCCACAGTGCTGGGATTACAGGTGTAAACTGCCGCGCCCAGCCTGGGAATTTCTTTCTTACAGGGAATTTTTATTTTTGTGTGTGTGTGTAAGTCTTGAGATTAGGGTGCGAGGTGGGACATCAGAGCTGTAAGGCGTGAATTCTGGAATCGGGTGATTGTGAGCCATGGAACCTGGGAACCGTTCAGCTGAGACACATCCCAGGTCTCGGTGGTGCCGGGCCGTGCCACAGGGTTTTTGTTGTTAAGAGTTTTTTTTTGACTATTTGTAAAAAGATAGATTTGTGCTCATCTGCAGTGATGTCCATGTACTTTCTGTGTGAGGCTGAGATGCAGGCCACACGCAGTCCTCGTCTGAGGCTGGCCTCGTCTGTATCCATGTTACTGATACAGATGGTGACCCGATGCCCACCATAGTGACATTTGGTGATAACCGGTTTTATCCCGCCCGTCCCCTAGTAGCCCCCAGTAAGCGGAGATTTCACTCCTGGACGTAGCTGCCACATCCCTATGGTTTACAAGTGATTATGGGTTGCCTACAATTCTCATATTCTGTGAACCTGCTTCATGAAACTCAAGGAAAATCTACCAGATCATGGCGGTCAGCTCACCCACCCAGTTTCATTCACAAGTTCTTCCAGGAATTCGGTCTTTTCTGTCACCATCATTATTACAATAGCGATTTAAACAACCAATGAAGCTGCAATTGTAGTTTTTCTGTTTATTTGTTTGTTTGGTTTTTTCTTTGAAATGGAGTCTCGCCTGTCACCCAGGCTGGAGTGCAATGGCGTGATCTCAGGTCCCCTCCCGGGTTCAAGCGATTCTCCTGCCTCAGCCTCTCAAGTAGCTGGGATTACAGGCAGCTGCTATCACCAGCTAATTTTTGTATTTTTAGTAGTGAAAGGGTTTCACCACGTTGGCCAGGCTGGTCTCGAACTCCTGACCTCGTGATCTGCCTGCCTCAGCCTCCCAAAGTGCTGGGATTACAGGCGTGAGCCACTGCACCCAGCCTGCAATTGTAGTTTTTAACAGAGCTGATAACTAAGATGATATTTAGCTTGCTGTAGCTGAGTCAGACACTTGATTTAAACTGAGATTTAAGAAGAGCGCTGGACTCTGATGTCACAGATGGAGGCTCGGTGGGTGCCTCGGAGCGTGGGTTACATGCTGTTTGGTTTCGCCTTCGTGGTGGGCTGTGGACAGAGGGGCCAGGCCACTGAGGAGCCCAGAGGCGTTAGTAGTCGCTCCTTAATAATAACTCAGGAGACCCTGCCCTTGCCTTGGGGCAGACCCATATCCCAGAGGAGCCCTTGACTGCCCGGGCAGTGCCAGTGGTTCAGTAGCCCTCCCTGCTGGGAGAAGGAGCTGGGGAAAGCCAGCACACAGTGGGTTTGTGGTGCAGAATTACAACCCAGGAGTGCCGGGCTCTGCATTTCCAGCCTCTCCTGCACCTCCATGTTGCCAGGACAGTGGCCTGGTCTGGGGAATACTGTGTGGGGTGCAGACAGGGCGCCTCTGGGTTAGGCCTGACCAGGATGGAAGTGCTGCAGGCAGCACCAAGTTTTCTAGTTTAAACAGTCACATTTGAAAAACGACCAAAATAAAACTAGATGTTGTTCAAAAGTCATCTCAAAGAATCTCGAATTTTATTAAAGTGTCCGTGACATGAGAAATGCCCCCAGAGGAGCAGTGGGGCCTCAGCCACGTGCATCTGAAGTGTCTGTGACCACACGGACAAGGATCCAGGGAGTCCCCAGTCAGAGAGAAAGTGACCTCAGTTTGGAGACTGTTGAAAATCCATGCTGCCATCCCCAAAATATGTCACCTTCAGTACAGTTTAAATACAAGTATCTTTTGCTTGGATGCTGACATAAAAATAATTTTGTGTATTTTTGTATATTGGATAATGTTCATTCCACCAAAATGTAAATGAACGATTTTACAGATGTTTTGTGTGCGTGCATTTGCTCCCATCTAGCACGGAGAAGACTGTAGCCTGGCGTCTGGGTAGTGTCTGTGTTTTGATGCCATGTTTAACTCATTTCTGCATTTATCTCTTTTTTTTTTTTTTTTTTTTGAGACAGGGTCTTACTCTGTCGCCCAGGCTGGAGTGCAGTGGCACAATCATGGCTCACTGCAGTCTCCACCTCCCAGGCTCAAGCGATCCTCCTACCTCAGCCTCCTAAGTAGCTAGGACCACAGGCGCACACCACCCTGCCTGGCTAATTTTTGTGATTTTAATAGAGACAGGGTTTCACCATGTTGCCCATGCTGGTCTTGAACTCCTGAGCTTAAGTGATCCTCCCACCTCCGCCTCCCAAAGTGCTGGGATGACAGGCATGAGCCACCACGCCCGGCCAACTGTTTGTGCATTTATCTCCCAAGGACCAACCGGGCTAGTAATGGGGACTCTCACGTGTGGTCCCAGAAGCCCCCAGCCAGGAGAGGCCTGATGTGCCACTGCAGATGCTGCCAGTATCCACTCAATGTAAAATTGTCCCGAAGAACCAAAAAGAGCCTTTTTGTGAAAAGACTGTGTCTCTTTATGCTGTAGCTTTCTCATGACCTAACCCGTTTAAAGGAGCACTATGAGAAAAAGATGAGAGAGTTGATGGCAAGCACGGTGGGCGTGGTGGAGATTCAGCAGCTCAGGCAGAAGCATGAACTGAAGGTAGAGTCTTGCCCCCGGCCGCTGCCCCCACTCACAGGCCGGGCAGTAAAGAAAAACCACGTGGCTCGGTCAGTCCTTGTCGTCTCAACAGCGATTCTCAAAGGGTGGTCCGGGGCTCCCGGCATCCCCCGGCGCTTTGGGGCTCACACGGACTCTGAGACGCTCGGTGCCTTTCACTCTCTCCCTCTTACCGGGAACCCGAGAACATTCTGGAGGCTCCACGGCTGTGGCCTCACAGCTGGCGCAATGCCGTCCGGCTGTCTAAGTGACAGGGGTTTCCAGAAATGCACAACAATGCCACTCTCTGTTTTGGAAAGCACAGCAATTTTTCATTGATGTTATTTAAGATAACATGTAATAGGTTGATTATTTTTTAAATGAACATTTATAAAAATATCCAAACTTTTTCAGCATTTTAACTTCAAATGCAGTAAATGTTGATACGTAAAACCCTCGTAAACGAAAGCCATTTGGGCTCTCCATAATTTTTAAGAGCGTCCAGCGCCCCCGAGACCGGAACGCTTGAGAACTGCTGGACTTGAGTGTGGTGACAGTCTGTTCTGCGTGATGTCTTTTAAAAGGGCACTGTCAAGTACTTTTTCCTGGAATTTGACCTTTTATCCTGCTGGTATTTTGTGATCATTCACATGTGTTGAGTGGCACTCGCTGGAAAGGGACGTGCACTCCACACGGCTTCTGGAGCAGCCGGCTCATCCGCCGTGTAGTGCTTGGGCCATCTGAAGCTACGGCCGCCTCCTGGGAGCCGTGCTGCCCCCTCACATCCAGCGTCTGGCTGGCTTCCCGCAGGGTGTCTGATGGGACCTGCTGGAGGCGGCAGGCAGTGTGGCGGGGTTTCCGAGGAGCGGAGGGCACCATCAGAGCCATGGGAGGGGTGTGTGAGCTACGTTTGGAGATTTCCACAGACACGGGGAGTGCCCTGGCTGAAGCAGGTGAGGGCACTGTGGGAAGCGGGGAAGGAAGGCCGGGGAAGCAGCCAGGGTCGGGCCCAGCACACTCGCTTCCCTTAGTGAGAGCAGCCCCGTGTCAGCTCTGGGAGCCAGGAGACCTGGCCAAGGCTGTGACCCGTAACCCGGGTGTCACCTGCTCTGCATGGAGCTGGGGCTTAGGGACCGTGGCGGCTCTCCAGTTTGTCGGTTTGCAGTTCTCTGATTCTCTGTCCAGGGACCCCGACAGGCTGGCTGAAAACCAAGGGTTCACAGCCTAGGTCCGGGATTGAGAAAGAGCAGGAGGTGGACAGACTGTGCGGGATGGATACGAGCAGGCGGGCAGGGCTGTCTGCGGCATCGGGCGGGAGGCAGGGCCATGGGTGCAGGGGCCAAGGAAATGGCAGCAGGACATGGTCCCATGTGGGGTTGGGAGATGCAGGAGTGGGGGAGCCCACGGGGGCCGTGACGTTAACGCCGTCGACGGGGGACAGCGTTGCGAGTGATGGAGATGGGCTGGGCCGGCGACGCAGGTGTGAGGCCAGGTGTGTTGCGTGGTGTTCATGGTGGACACTTCCCGAAGGCAGCCCTCAGGCGTTTGGAAGTCCAGGGCGGGCAGACACGGCCAGGGCTAGAGCAACTGTCTGCTCACCGGCGTCCAGCAGCCCCGCTTCTCCCGCGGTGATGTGACCCGGAGTGAAGAGAGCCTGGTTCTCAGCTGCACTGCTGGTCCCTTTGGGAGGTCCCTGGGAAGGGGACGTCGGTTGTCCCATAAGAGATCATCTTCTAGAGACGAATCACTCGGCGTCCAGTGGCCAGTACCTCAGATGTTCGGTTTTTAAGGAGTAAGAAGTCAGATGGCAGGAGACGCCTCAGACGCCTGTCTGAGGCAGCCGTGAGTGTCCAGCACGGCACTGTCCGAGGAAGTGGAGGCAGGGAGCCCCAGGCCCCGGGGGACGTGGCCTCCAAGTCTGACATCCACAGTGTGCTGCACCCCGACCCTCCCTCGGGTGGATCCCGTGCGTGTCTGCAGCACTTGCTGGGCCTTGAATTCAGCCCCGTGACTGGGGCTGGGTCCGTGTGACCATGTGTGTGAGGTGGCCTTGTCAACAGCTGGCCTTGCCCCAACATGGGGTGCGGTGGGAAGCCCCGGGGAGGTTAAAAGGCTGAACGGGAGCTGTGAGCGTCTGCAGTTAGTTGTTTTGCCATTTAATTCGGGGCAAGTTGTTTGACATTTGTGCACGTTAGTGACTCACCTGTGACCCCCACGTAGCTCTTTGTGTGGGCGGATCACACATAATACTGTAAATGGGGCAGGGAACATTTTTCACCATGTCCAGGAAGGGCTGTGTTTTCGAAGTCTGTTTTTTTCTTTTTTCCACAACAAACAAAACCAAAACAAAACCTAGCCCAGAACTGCACATGGCACATGCGCTCACAAGAACCAGACTACTTGACAGTATTCTTTTAAAACAGGCAAATGAAAGTCGCAGGTGGGTTCTGCCACCGTCCCGTTCTCACATCTCCCTCTCTGTCGCAGATGCAGAAGCTCGTGAAGGCTGCGAAGGACGGCACCAAGGACGGGCTGGAGAGGACCAGAGCGGCTGTGAAGAGGGGCCGCTCGTTCATCAGGACCAAGTCTCTCATTGCACAGGGTCCGTGCCTGTGGGTCTTCCTGTGGGGAGGACATGGGGTTGGGGGGCGGCCACATCTTGCGGGGAGGACTTGGGGTTGGGGGCGGCTGTGCAGACTCCTGCAGCCTCGGGTAGCACCGGCCTGCTCAGTGCCTGGGTCTGGATCAGCCCCGCTGACCATGGCCTCCCCGCCCTGCAGGGGTGGCGTTTTAGGCCGAGGGCACCCGGCAGCGGGGAATCATTGAGAATCACTGGCTGGATCTAGGGAGGGCCGCACAGGGGCCTCTGTCACTGTGGATTCTTGGCACTGGACTCTCTCTTTACAGCACATCGGCCCTCCTGGGCGTGGTCCCACAGGGACTGAGGTCGTGAGCACCCTGAACTGGGATTTCAGGAACATTTTCCTTGGTGAGGGGAGATTTGGAGTAGATAGCAGAATTTCCAGGTTTTTCTAAAAATCTCACGAAGGAAGGGGCAGTGGTCTGTGCAGTTATGTGTGGAAAAGGCAGCTGGTGTGGAGGTGTCATGCATGGTGGCAACAAGCGGCCGGCCAGGGTTATGCACCGTCCCAGGAAACTTCTCGGAGCCTTTGCACAGATGTCCAAAGGCTCGAGTTACGGGAGGGTGGCTGAGACTTCACTGTCATACAGGGGTCGCTGTGACTCTGACCTGGCATTTCCCGGTTGTTTCTCCAGTTTTCTAACGTGCCTGTCTGGTGCTAGGACGTGGGCAGCGTTTGCTAATATCTGTACTTGGAAGGGACTTTACAATCACGTGTTCCCTCAAGGAATGGCCTCGGATACGATGTGTAATTGGTATGACATGGTGTAACTCAGGAGGCCTTTTCCTCTTTCAGTCCTAATGAAGCCCTCGGCATCTCAGACAAGGTGGGGGAAAGCTGTCAGCATCCCCGAAGGGTTTATTTGGTGATGGAGACAGGCAGGTGCTTTCTAATAATATGTGCAGTAATATTGTGCCCTGATAGGGGTGCCGTGAGGTGCTTGGGGCAGCAAAGGACAGCTTTTGAGGAGGTGGCCGTATTTACACAGCCCCTGGAAAGCACAGGCAGCTCAGTCCAGTGAGGAGCTGGGATTTGGGGCCGTATTCACCTGCCTCAAGGAGTGTGTCTGCCACCAGCAGCAACCCCCTGACCAGGACCCAGACTCCAGGATCTGATCACAACTGCCCACCCAGAGCCCATGCCAGGCCCCCGAGCCAGGATTTGCAGGCTGGTGGAGTCCCCCAGGACTGGGTGTGTGGGACAGTCTGAGAAACCCTGACTCAGGCCCTGGGAGCAGGTCGTGATTTGTCTCTGGTTTAGGGGGTGCTCTTTGGGGGATCAGTTGGAGAGATGCGGCGGTTTAATAGGCAAATCTCTAACCTCCCAACCCTAGTTTCCTAAGCCATAAAATGAGAGGCTTGCTCAGAATTTTGTTTTTCGTCCTGGTTGTACCTAAGAATTAACTAGAAAACTTTTAAAACATGCTGGTGCCAGGCCCTCCTTCCCTGGTTGATCCGTTGATCTCTGAGGGAAAAGTCTGGGCATCAGTAGGTTTTAAAGCCCCTTAGGAAGATGTTTCTGTGCAGCCAGGGTTTGGGATCTTTGAACCAGAAAAACTCAGGTTTCTATCCCCTAAAACTTCCCGTGCTTTTCTGATTTCCAGCCATTTTGTAGATGCTTTAATGTAGTTAGCAGTGTTTTAAAAAGTGAATGTAGGCGTTTTCTTGTTTTTTAGAGACAGGGTCTCACTCTCGCCCAGGCTAGAGTGCAGTGGCACAACCACAACTCACTGCAGCCTCGACCTCCTGGGCTCAGGCCATCCTCCTGCCTCAGCCTCCTGACTAGCTAGGAGTACAGGTGCTCACCACTATGCCTGGCTAATTTTTAAATTTTTCGTAGAGCTGGAGTCTTGCTGTGTTGCCCAGGCTGGTCTTGAGTTCCTGGGCTTAAGTGATTCTGCCATCTCAGTCTCCCAAACTGCTGGGATTAGGGGAGTGAGCCACCACACCCAACTGTGAATTTAGTGTTTGTTTAATCTGTTTGAGTTTTGGAAAGCTGTGCTTCTTAAGGTGTCCAGTGAGAGAAACACAAGAAATATACTAAGTGCCACCTCAGTTTTCATTGACTTTTGACTCACCTCAGTTTTCAGTGAGCATTCTTAGCCATTCGTAGCTGTTTCCTTGTTTCTGATTGTGATATTTTATAGATTAAGAAACTATTTAATTTATGAAATATTCTAAAACATTAAAATGCCAAAATATTGCCACTTTACTATCTAGCTATTCAAATGGCACCTCTCCCTTTTGAAGTTAAACTTTAAATACTGAAAATTTCAAATACAGACAAATACTGTATTACCCTGTGGAAAGAATATTTTATTAGATTTATTAAAAATTCAACTTAATAATAGCTGGGTGTCAAGTAAGCATGGAAAATTGAAAGGTCTACACAAAATACTTATTTGACATATTATTCTACTGTACTATAGTGTTCTGAATATATTATTTCAATGTAAAGCTCATGCATTTTGACTTGTTTTTAAGATCACAGATCTTCTCTTGAGGAAGAGCAGAATCTGTTCATTGATGTTGACTGCAAGCACCCAGAAGCCATCTTGACCCCAATGCCCGAGGGTTTATCTCAGCAGCAGGTGAGATGAGCGGAACTGACACTCAGGGACTGTTGACCAGCAGAGCTGTGCTGGTTTTTAAATATTTGTATGTTTGATGCTGGTTGGTAAATATCTGCTGTCTCAAACTCTGCATCCACTCGGGCCCTCCACTGTAGACTCCTGGCCCAGCACTTAGAGGCTTAATGCTGGGCTCAGTAAGGGTCTGGGGGGACCCTGGTCAGCAGCTGTGGCCTGGACTCAGGCCCTTCTGGTCCTTAAATATTTTGGACAGCACCCCTGAGTGTAACTGTGAGAAAGGGGAGGAACTTGCATTCTTCGTGGGAGTCAGTCACACAGTTTGTGCTTTCACAGAGACAGAGTGTGGGTGTGTCTGGTCAGTATGTGTGTGTAGCTACCTGAGACTGAGACGAAAATGACAGATTTTCAATAACTAATTAAATCTGAATATAATGCATTTCTTAAAAATCTGGTACTTGGTAGCAGAAGGGAAAAAATCACTGGTTTTCACTGGATTGCCTTTGGGCAAAAGGAAGAGAGAACTTGAGGAACCAGAGTGACAGCACTGAGTTTGCAGGCCGTTAGCAGCAGGGCTGATGCTTTGGGATGATGGGAGTTGTTTCCCACACGGGCAGCCAGGTGCAAATCATGGACACCAGGATGGATAGGCAGACACCTGTGTAGTCCACGCCTCTGGGAGATCCCTGGATACAGGTAGGCAGATAGAGCGAGAGAGAGCATTGTCAGATTAAAGAAAAACAACATAGAAATGCTTAGTGACTGGCCAGGGTTTAAAAAGAGATGCAAAGGGAAACCTGCGAGCTGTTCATAGTCAGCCAGGCTAAAATAGGAAGCTTACATTTCACTGGAATTGAGCAGCGATGACTGAAGTATTAGTTTTGTCAGCAGCATCACACGAGTGACGGGACGAAGTGTCCACAGAGCTTGGAGACGGTTGTTGAGCGGTTGTCACTCTTGGGTGCATGCTCTGTGCAGGCCCCATGCCGGGTCCCTGGTGTGTTTCACTGAGTTTCATCCTCGCAAATCCCCTTGCTGTCCTTGTCTACTCTGTAAGGAAGCCTGGACTTGGAGGGGGTTGATCATCGCAACTGCGTCCTCCAGCTACCCGAGAAGGGGTCGTGTCTGATCTCAGTCTTTCCCATCACAGCCTGCCACTAACCTGTCTGTGCTCACTGGGGCCATGTGATCTGTGCTGCCACATGCCCAGGGGGATGGTTGACAGCCTTTGCCAGGAACAGAGAATCTAGCGCTTTCTCCTGTGCATGCTGTCCAGCTCACCGACCTCACTTCCGACTCAGGAGCTATAAAAGGGGTTCGTGGCTGAACACCTTCTTGCCAGTCCTGTGAGGTGCTCAATAGGATAACACACTGGCCAATCCTCTACTGTCTGGGGCCCTCACTGCAGGTGGGTGCCTGTGCTGGTGAGGACACACCATGTGAGAGGGACTTGGATCCTGCACTCTGAGAACTTAGTGTAGTGATGAAGCTGAAAACCAAAAATACCAAAAGAAGGGAAAAGCACAGAGGAAATGCTGCTAATGTTGGCAGGAGGACAGCTTCCCAGCAGATGAGGGACTAAACAAGAATCACAGCAGGAGTGTGAGTGACTCAGGACCAGAAGAGCCAGGAGACCTTGAGGACACATGGCCCAAGCCAAGACAGCGGCCTGAGCTGCAAACCAGTAGGCAGGGTGCGGGGGTGAGGGTGAGAGAGACAACGCCAGACCCTGAGTAGGGTGTGAGGGGTCTGTGAGGAGACACTGAGTGGGGTGAGGGTTGTGAGGAGACACTGGGTGAGGTGAGGTTTGTGAGGAGACTCTAAGGGGAGTGAGACTTGTGAGGAGAAACTGAGTAGGGTGAGGATTGTGAGGAGACACTGAGTGGGGTGAGCATTTGTGAGGAGACACTGAGAGGTGTGAGGGTTGTGAGGAGACAGTGAGTGTGGTAAGGGTTGTAAGGAGACACTGAGTGGGGGTGAAGGTTCTGAGGAGTCACTGAGTGGGGTGAGGGTTTATGAGGAGACACTGAGTTGGGTATACATTGTGAGGAGACACTGAGTTGGGTGAGGGTTTGCGAGGAGACGCTGAGTGGGGTGTTGATTGTGAGGAGACACTGAGTCGGGTGAGGGTTCTGAGGAGATACTGAGATGGGTGAGGGTTTTGAGGAGACACTGAGTGGGGTGAGAGTTGTGAGGAGACACTGAATCGGGTGAGGGTTGTGAGGAGAAGCTGAGTGGGGTGAAGGGTATGAGGAGACACTGAGTAGGATGTGAGGGGTCTGTGAGGTGTCACCAAATACTGTGAAAGTTGTGAGGAAACACGGAGTGTGGTGAGGGTCCTGAGAAATACTGAGTGGGTTGAGGGTTTGTGAGGAGACACTGAGTGGGGTGAGATGAGGAGACACTGAGTTGGGTGAGGGTTATGAGGAGACACCGAGTGGGGTGAGGGGTCTGTGACGAGACACTGAATGAGGTGTGAGGGGTCTACGAGGAGTCACAGAGTGCGGTGAGAGTTGCAAGGAAACACGGAGTGGGGTGTGGGTCGTGAGGAGACAGTCATTGGGGTAAGGGTTGTGAGGAGACACTGAGTGGGGTGAGGGGTCTGTGAGGAGACACTGAATGGGGTGTGAGGGGTCTGTGATGAGACACTGTGAGTGGGGTAAAGGTTGTGAGGAGAAAGTAGATAGGGTAGAGGTTGTGAGGAGACATTGAGTGGGAGTGGGGGATCTTGTGAAGACACTGAGTGGAATGTGAGGAGTCTATGAGGAGACACCAAGTGGGAGTGAGTAGTGAGGGAGACACTGGGTAGGGTGAGAGTTGTGAGGAGACACTGAATGGGGTGAGGGTTGTGAGAACACTGAATGGGAGTGAGGTTGTGAGACACTGAGTAGGGTGAGAGTTGTGAGGAGACACTAGGTGGGGTGAGAGTTGTGAGAGACACTGAATGGGGTGAGGTTTGTGAGGAGACACTGAGTGGGTGAGAGAGTTGTGAGGAGACACTGAGTGGCGTGAGGCATCTGTGAGGAGACACTGAGTAGGAGTAGGAGTCTGAGGAGACACTGAGTGGGGTGAGGGTCTGTGGGAGACACTGAGTGGGGTGAGGGGGTCTGTGAGGGAGACACTATGAGTGGGAGTAAAGGTTGTGAGAGGAGAAAGTGAGTGGGGTGAGGTTGTGAGGAGACACTGGGTAGAGAGGTTTGTTAGGAGGCACTGAGTGGAGTGAGGTTGTGTGAGATACTGAGTGGGATGAGGTTTTGAGGGAGACTTTAGAGTGGAGTAGAGTTGTAGGAGACACTGAGTGGGGTGAAGTCTGTGAGAAGGCCTTGCTGAGTGGAATGTGAGGAGTCTGTGAGGAGACACTAAGTGGGGTGAGAGTTGAGGAGATACTGGATGGGGGTGAGGTTTACATGAGACACTAGGTAGGGTGAGGTTGTGAGGAGACACTGAGTGGGGTGAGAGTTGTGAGGAGACACTGAATAGGGTGAGGGTTGTGAGGAGACACTGAGTGGGGTGAGGTTGTGAGGAGACTGCTGAGTGATGTGAGGCATCTGTGAGGAGACACTGAGTAGGGTGAGGTTGTGAGGGAGACACTGAGTGGGGTGAGAGTTGTGAGGAGACACTGGAATAGGGTGAGGTTGTGAAAAGACACTGCTTGCAGGTGGGGAGTGAGGGTTGTGAGGGGGTACTGAGTGATGTGAGGCATCTGTGAGAGACACTGAGTAGGGTAGAGTCTGTGAGGGAGACACTGAGTGGGGTGAGGTTGTGAGGAGACACTGAGTGCGGTGAGGGTTGTGGGAGACCACGAATTAGGGTGAGGTTGTGAGGAGACAGCGAGTGGGGTAAAGGGTTTTGAGGGAGACACTGAGTGATGGTGAAGGAGTTCACAAGGAGACACGGAGTGGGTGAGGGATTGTGAGGAGACACTGAGTGATGGTGTGTGAGGAGTCTGTTAGGAGTCACTGAGTGGGGTGAGTTGTGAAACAGTGAGGGAGTTGTGGATTGTGAGGAGGCACTGGAGTCCAGCTGAGGTTGTGAGAACCACTGACTGGGAGTGAGTGTTAGGAGACATTGAGTGAGGAGGGCTGTGAGGAGACACTGAGTTGGGGGAGGGGGTGTTGAGGGCCACACAGTGGGGTAAGGAGTCTGTGTGAGTTACTGGAGTGGGTGAGATCTGTGAGGAGACACTGGATGAGGTGAGGGTTGAGGGAGACACTGAGTGAGGTGTGAGGTCTGTGAGAAGAAACTGAGTGGGAGTATGAGGGGGTCTATGAGAGATGCTGGGTGGAGTAAGGGTTGTGAGGAGACGCAGGTGGGGGTGAAGGTTCTGCAAGGGAGATGCGAGTGGGGTGTGGGTTGTGAGGAGACACTGGTGGGATGTGAGGATCTGTGGCGAGGGAGATACTACTGGAGTGAAATGTGAGTTGGGAGGCACTGAGTGGGGTGTGAGAGGTCTGTGAGGAATCACCTTGTGGGAGTAAGGAGTTTCTGAGGGAGACGCACAGGTGGGGTGAGTGTTTGTGAGGAGACACTGAGTGCGGAGTGAAGAATCTGTGAAGTGGTGTGGTGTGGGGGTCTGAGTATTGTGAGTGGTGAGTATTGTGGGGAGACATGGGTGTGGTGTGAGGTTGGGAGGAGGGTTTGTGAGAAGACATTAGGTGGTGGGGTTTGTGAGAAACCTTTGAGTGGTGTGGTGTGAGAGCCCGAAGTTAGGGGTAAGGGTTGGCGAGAAGACACTGGAGTGGGATTGAAAGGTTTTGAGGAGACACTGAGTGGGGTGAGGGTTTGTGAGGAGACACTGGGATGTGGATTGTGAAGGCACTGAGTCGGGTGAGGGTTGTGAGGAGATGCACAGGTGGGATCTGAGTTGTGAGATACACTAGATCCTGGTGAGGGCTGTCAGGGAGACACTGAGTGGGGGTGATGGGTATTGGCGGCACTGGTGGCAAGGATTCTCTGTGTGGAGACACTGGGTAGGGTGAGGTTCTGTGAGGAGACACTGAATGAGGTGAGGGTTCACCAGCGAGAGACACTTCAGGTTAGGTGGGGGTATGAGGAGACACTGATTGGGGTGTGAAGAGGTCTGTGAGGTGTCACCAAGTGCAGTGAGATTTGTGAGAAACATGGAGATGGTGAGGTCCTGAGAAAACACTGAGTTAGGTGAGTTTGTGAGGAGACACTAGGTGAGTTGGGAGGTTGTGAGGGGAGACACACGGGTGTGAGGGGGTCTGTGAGGAGAAAGTGAGTGGGAGTATAGAGGGGTCTGTGAGGGAGACACTGGGTGAGGTGAGGTTGTGAGGAGACACTGAGTAGGGTGTGAGAGATCTGTGAGTGTCACTGGATAGAGATAAGAGTTTCTGGGGAGACACTGAGTTAGGTGAGGAGTTTGTGAGGAGACACTGAGTTGGGTAAGGAGTTGTGAGAGACACTGAATCAGAGTGAGGGTTGTGAGAGACACTGAAGTGTGGAGGCTGTGAGAGACAGTGGAGTGGGGTGAACGTTGTGAGGAGACACTGAATGTAGTGAGGTTATGAAAGGAGACAGTGGGGTGAGGGGTATTTAGGGAGACACTGAGTAGGGTAAAGTCTGTGTGGAGACACTGAGTGGGGTAGAGATCTGTGAGGAGACACTGAATGAGGTGAGGGTTGTGAGGAGACACTGGTGGGAGTAAGAGGGAGTCTGTGAGGAGGCACTGAATGGGGTAAGGATCTGTGAGGAGACGCACTGGGTAGGGTGAGGTCGTAGGGAAACACTGAGTGGGCTGAGGGTTTTGTTGGCACAGTGGGAGTGAGGGTTTGTGAGGAGGCACTGAGTGGGGTATGGATTGTGAGGAGACATTGGGTCATGGGTGAGGGTTATAAGGAGACACTGAGTAGGGTAGAGTTGTGAGAGACACTGAGTGAGACACTGAGTAGGGTGAGAGTTGTGAGGAGACACTGAGTGGGGTGAAGGGTCTGTGAGGAGACATTGAGTGGGGTGAGGGGTGTGAGAAGACACTGTGGGGTGAGGGGTGTGAGAAGACACTGTGTGGGGTGATGGTTGTGAGGAGACACTGAGTTGGGTGAGAGTTGTGAGTACACAGTGAGTGGGGTGAGGGTCTGTGAGGGGACACTGAGTCAAGTGAGGGTTGTGAAGAGACTCTGATTTGGGTGTGAGGGGTCTGTGAGGAGACACTGAGTGGGGTGAGCGTTGTGAGGAGACACTAATTGGGGTGAGCGTTTGTTAGGAGACAGTGGGGTATGAGGGGTCTGTGAGGAGACAGTGATGGGGGCACGGGGTCTGTGGGATGTCACTGGGTAGGAATCGAGGTTTTCTGAGGAAAGAGTGAGTAGTGACTAGTAGAGGTGTGGTGCAGATATTAGAGGAAAGATGGTTCGACCTTTTTGTTGTATGGCACTTTTCCAAGTGTCTGTCTGTTGGGCACTGATTTTGGTGGATTTGGTCAGCGAATTGGTGGTGACTGTTCATTGTTTTATAGTTTCTGTAAAGGGTTTAAGCTTCCCAAATTAGTCTCACAGACCTGGATGAAATCCTGTGTTTTGCTCTGATTATCTTGGTTACTTTTGTCTAGTAGTTAGTTTCTGAAGTTCAGTTTTCCTTTTCTTTGAAGGGTGAATTTTAATGTCTATTTCCATCTTGCTCATCACACCATAATGTTTCAGTGAAGTCCTGTATAGGAAGGTCTCTGTGTGGTGTTAACGCAGTGCTGTCAGTTTCAATTAGATGACAGCTGGGATTAGGATTAGAAACTTAGCAGTATTTAGGATTTCTGTATTTTTTCATGCAGCTTATCTTTATTGTAGCCACGATTCACATTGATTTTATTTTCCTCCTTCCAAATGTGTTGTCCCTGGGAGTTTTCTCTTGAAAGGTTAAATGGGGGGTATTGATGCTCTTTAATTCTTGTTCTCCTGTAGAATTGAATTAAGGGAAACATAACTCTAAAATGCTGTATGTTAAACATTCTTTGCATGTCTAATTTGGGGGTGGAAAAAGGAAAATGTTCTTTTTGAAATAAAGAAGGGTAGGTCTTTACTTGGAAAGCACCCTTGATGCTGGAGGACAGAGGATCCTGTCCTGTCCCCATTCGCGGTGGGGACATGAGGAAGGGCAGGCTGGGCCAGGCCCAGACCCCATCCATGGCTCTCCAGGCTTAGATCCAGGAGCCACTCTGATTGTCCTCCAGCCCTGGCTTTGTCCAGTTGCCCCGTGACCTTTATGTCAGGGACCCTCCCTGTGGGGGCTGCCCTCAGGATGGATTTCTCCTCTATGACTTTAGGTTAGGCTTCTCAGGAAGAGAGTGACACTCTTCTTGAGCACTGGAGGCTCCCCGTCCCACCCCTTAGTGGGCATACAATTCGATGTGTCAAATTGAACTGCCGAAAAGACTGACATCACATGCAGTAGCCATGAAACCCAGGAGATTGGTGTTGTTTTTGTATTTTAGTATTATACCTATTCCAGATCTTTTGACCTGATACTACATTAGTATCATCTCAGGACTTTTATATATATATATACACACACACACCCCATAAATAATATATATACATAATATATGTACACATATATAGTATATAACATATTATTTATAATATATATTATATGTATATATACACAAATACATTTTTATGTTTGACCCCGGGGCCTTGGGATAGTGTCTGGGAATCTGAATTTCAGAACAAAGACTGGCCTGGGTTTGATGATGGGAGGGGTTGCTTGTCCTTTTGGGTTCTAAGCTGTCATTTGAAAGGGAAGCCTCTGTGCTCTGACGTTTCCTGTGAATCAGTCAGCAGCAGCAGCTGCAGCTTCCCAGCTTCTAGCTGTGTGTGTATGTGTGTGTGTGTGTGTGTGTGTTTAATCCTAGCCACATCTGTATTTTTTAATACATCAGTTTCTTCTTTGGGTATTTTAGAAGGGTTGATTTTTGTCTTTTACGAATGGAATAATCCTTTCTCTAAAAAGAAGAATCTCTTCCTTGTCAATCAGGTTTTGTAAATCTTGGTTGCCCTGCAATCTTTTTAACCAGAGAAATTTCCTTTGTGAAAAATGCTCTTTGCCCACTAGGTGGCAATGCAGTCCCTTCAAATAGCGTAATCCAGGGCTGCAGGTAGCCTGGTACTACACTGGTGTGTCCGTGTGTGTGCATGTGTGTGGTGTGTTTCTGTGCGTGCATGTGGGTGTTATCTTGCATGTATGTGGGGTGGTGTGTGCAGGAGTCTGTGTGGTGTGCTGTGCCCCGTGCATGTGTTCATATGCGTGAGTGTGCATGCTGGTTTAGGAGCAACTCCATTGCCCTGTTTTGCTCTGTTTTCCATGAATTGGCAAATTGAAAGTACAATGATCACTAGCTGGACTGTGTTTAGAATGAGGAAAATGCTGGGTGCCCTCATTGGCCTTTCACAGGATCTTACAGCCACAAGTCTGTATTTGTATGTGCTTCAGTGATAAAAAGCAAGACAGAAAATAACGTCAGGTTTTAATTGCAAACATGTCAGATTATAGGGAATTTTTTTTTTTGCGCCTCTAAGTGACATGAATGATTTGCTGTCCACATTTGTGGCTTCATAGGTAGATCTTTGGATGGTTGAAAGATCTTTGCCAAAAAAAAAAAAAAAATTCCCCCACATTCCACAAACTTTCTTTTCTTAGAACTTTGGAATAAGGATTTTAGATAAGTGTTGCTAGTAACATTCATTGATCAAGACTGGAACTATTTTTATCCTTAATCATATGACGTATCATCTACCAGAATGTTGGATACATAAAATACAATCAGTTAGTTCAGTTTATTATCGTTGCATAAGTGGAGGAATTTCTTTTCAGTGCTGTAATTTTTTTTGTCCCTACTGTAGTTATAGTTCATAGTTTGAGGTTTAAAACATTATATAATTGTATTAATGGGGCAAAGTATGTTTTGTACCTGTAATGTTATTTAATTAGGTTACCCTTATGCACTGTTTTCTAAAAATAGAAAAGTTATTTATCAGCAAGTCTCAGCATAGAAGTAAAATGTATCTGTATGTATTATAAAGCAGTTTTCTATCACTGTACTTTCAAATTTCCAATAGGTTGTAAGAAGATATATACTCGGTTCGGTGGTCGACAGTGAAAAGAACTACGTAGATGCGCTTAAGAGGATTTTGGAGGTACCTAAATGTCATGTTACATAATACATACCTTTTATCTTTTTTATGTATGTACATTTTGATACATACATGCAAAACATATATGTTTATGAAACATATGCAAATTTGCAACATTCTCAAAAGGATCTAAGTATTGTGTCTGTATATTGACATCAAAAGTCATGATTTATTTTGAAATAAATATAATTTATGTAAGTGAATATTTACATTCATTTATCTGAGATTTAAAAATGTCTGGGCCGGGCTCAGTGTCTCACCCCTGTAATCCTAGCCCTTTGGGAGGCTGAGGCAGGCAGGTCGCCTGAGCTCAGGAGTTCGAGACCAGCTTGGGCAACACAGTGAAACCCCATCTCTACTAAAATACAAAATATTACTCAGGTGTGGCAGCATGCGCCTATGGTCCCGAGGCAGAATTGCTTGAACCCAGGAGGCAGAGGTTGCAGTGAGCTGAGATCACACCATTGCACTCTAGCCCGGGTGACAGACTGAGACTGTCTCAAAAAAAAGAGAAAGAAAAATATCTGAAGCAGCCATGCCCCATGGCACATGCCTATAATCCCAGCTACTCAGGAGGCTGAGGTGAGAGGATGGCTTGAGCCCAGGAGCTTGAGGCTGCAGTGAGCCATGGTCGCACCACTGCACTACACTCTGGGCAACAGAACACGACCCAAGCTCTGAAAGAGAAAAGTCTGAAGAGAAAAGTCTGAACCATCTTTGCTCATTTTGTCTTAGCAATATGAGAAACCGCTGTCTGAGATGGAGCCAAAGTTTCTGAGCGAGAGGAAGCTGAAGACCGTGTTCTACCGAGTCAAAGAGATCCTGCAGTGCCACTCGCTGTTTCAGATCGCGCTGGCCAGCCGCGTTTCCGAGTGGGACTCCGTGGAAATGATCGGCGATGTCTTCGTGGCTTCGGTAATTAAGCCGGGACACCCAGATGTCCACAGGGCTCTCCATGCACCTGTCCTCTCTTCCCTTCTTAGGCTGATGTTTTGTCCCTGAGCTCCTGCAAGCTGACAAGTGTGCAGTTCTCTCTGAAGGTCAGGCTGAAGTTGCAATGCCCTGGCCAAGTGTGTGCACTAGGGAAATGACAAATGGATCTTTACCAGGGAGGCCACGGCAGAAAGGCAGATGCTCCGAACAAAAGCTGTACCGGGGACGATTTAAACATATGTACTTTATCAAGCCTTGGATACCCCATTAGATGATTTGCTGAAGCTTTTTGTTGTTGAACAAGGATGCTCTGTGTTTGGTAATGTAAAATTGCTGTTTTTAAGCCCTTATACAGGTTCTCTTCCTGATCTAGGTGTCACTTTGTGGGTGCAGAATTCTCTGTGCCTGTGAAAAATGGAAAACACGTGATGGGAAAACTCCTAGAGGTTTTCTCAAACATTTGCCCTTGGCTGTAACTTCTGTTTTGTAGATACAGGCTTTCGGCCCTGTGCTGTGACACAGGAATGCGATGTTGCAACAGCTTTGCATGAACACTTCCTGGCAGGGGAAAGGGTTAGCTGCCTGGAAACCACTGATGGTTTCTGCACTGACAGTTTCGAGTCGTTTTATCCTCACTCCGTGTATGAATCATACTTACCGTACATGGGTTGGAGTCTACCTAGATGTAGAGGATTGTGAGTGAAACAGATTGGTTTCTGTAATTATTTAAGACTATGATGCTATCAAAGGGATACAAGCTTGCAAGTTAAAAAAAAAAAGTGTTCCTCTTCTTAAATGAATGCTATAATAATAATATGTGAAATGTTTTCCTATATAGTTTATATATGTACTTGATGAGGTCTGTAAATGCTTTGAATAAATATAGAAACAAAATTCTTAAGAGATATTTGCATAATACCATTATGGATCCTAAAAAAGAAATATTGGATATTTGTTTTGTTACTGGATTTTTTTCTGGCTGTTTTATATATTAACTTCAGCCTTATCACTGTTCCTTAAATACCTACCTTCCCAACATATTTTAAAATGCAAATAGATTTTTTTAAGAAGTAGAATTTGATGAAAGCATTCCTGTATCAACGCCAGTCACACCAAAGCTCTGCCATCCATCCTAAAGGACCTGGGTTTCTTAGAACAACATGGAATGATTTTTCTGTCTTTGAATATTGATAGCAAGGACAGATGCTTCTGCCTCTTGACAGAAAACCTTTGCGCTTTTAGGAAAACGAACACGTGTGAGGCATTGTATCTTACTCCAGAGAAGCAGGATCAGCCCCCGCCCCAGGCCTCATTTCCAGGGTGTGGTTGAGGCCTGTTTCTCAGGATATTGGGCCCACCATGGAACGAGCCTGCATGACTTTCTTGCCTGGAGGTTGAACCCACCAAGTGAGACTTGGCAGGAACTTAAAATCACCATCCTTATTTGTCTGTAGTCAGAAACATTCTTAACTGAAACCCAAATTACCATGGTTTTGAACAAGAATGTCAGAAAGTGCTCTTGGGCCAAAAAATAAGATCAAACCAGCAACTTAACTCCTAACAAGCTTGCTTAAAGAAAAAAAAAAAAATCTCACAGTCATAATAGTTTATCCTATGAAAACATCACAGTGACTGAAAGAGTATTTTGAGGGCGAGTTTCAAATCTTCTGTTTTATGTTGGAAAAGGGGTATCTGGACTCTGATTTCTCTCTGAATTTCCTCCTGTGTTTCAGTTTTCTAAGTCCATGGTGCTGGATGCATACAGTGAATATGTGAACAATTTCAGCACAGCCGTGGCCATCCTCAAGAAAACATGTGCCACAAAGCCCGCTTTTCTTGAATTTTTAAAGGTAAACACATTTTTTTTTTCATTTGGGTTTTAACACCATCTGATAATAAGTTACATGTCAAACCTTGGCTGTAAATGCAGTTATTCATTATTAAGATTTCAGTACCAATAGTGCCCTAGGTATTGGATTAATGCTAGAAATGAACATGAATTTTAGGTCCTAATGTAGCTTTTTGAAAACAATTTTATTTGCACATCCTTAAAAGCATATCAGTGGATAGACAGAAAGAAAGTTAAAATCAGATCCCAAAAAAAGAAGTCAAGATCAGATCCCAAAGTTACCTTTTCCTCCCTGTCCTTCAGTATGTTATTAGGAATCAAACCAAACATCTCAATTCCAGGCCTCTCTGGGATCGGGATACGCACCGGCCTGGACAGTCAGAGCCTGGAACGGGCCCTACCCCTTGGGGACGCGGGCTGTGTTCCCTGCGATGCTGAGGACAGCGCTGACGGCCTTCCTCAGTGGTCTCTGACCTGGCAGTGATGGGGAGCATGTCCCCAGACATGTGTGGGCGAGCGTTATTTAATCAGCAGGCAGGCAGGGCTTCCCCAGTCAGGGGATGCATGTCCCAGGCTGTGTTCTGACAGTTTGCTGCACAATGAACCAGGCTGAAACCGCCTTCAAAGACATCCCAGAACTGAGTCTCCTTTGTGGAGCCCCTCATTTGCATGATAAACCCCGGGGACAAAGTGTGTTCTTGTTACTTGGACTGTTTCTTGGAAACTGCTGCTACCTGGAGCGAGTGAACACAGGGCAAGTATTCTCGCCCACAGCAACGTGTCATTGAAGCTGGAATATTTTCCCTCTGCCTTATCCAGCATGGGGGCTCCTGCTCCTGCTGGAACACAGTCTGTGGCCCATGGAGGTTTGCTAAGGGATCAGATCACAGTTCCCATTCTGGACGGTTGTGGGCTCTGTCCTAAGGGATCGGATCGTAGTTCCCACCCTGGACAGTTGTGGGCTCTGTCCTAAGGGATCAGATCGCAGTTCCCACTCTGGACAGTTATGGGCTCTGTCCTTTGGCTAGGGCACCATCTCTTTCTCTTGGGGAAAGAAAACATGAACTCACTTAAGAGCGCACTCCCTCTGGGGATTCTGTTGTAGTTTTGATGTCAGCCGTGGCTGTGACTGTGGTGCCCACTCCTCAGCTGGCGGCTGCCATGCGGCCTTGGGAGATATACTCTGTCATCCTATTTCATAGCTCCAGGACCTGAGCCCCGAAGAGTCAGGTGTCCTGTGAGCGGAGAGGCCGGGGCACAGCCGGGTCTGTGCTGTCTGCCCTCTTAACTGCGCAGCCCCCTCAGCGGAGAAAACTGGAGACTCCCCCCAGGTCAACATTGCCCAGCAGCCTCGGTAGCAAATGGCCCCACTGTGCATCCCCGATGTGCTCAGGGAGAGGGGCCCTCAGCCTCCAGGACGTCCTTCTGCCCATGGCACCAGAAGAGGTTGCCAGCCTTTTCTAGGGACCCACTATGGCCAGAACACAGACACCCAAGGACACCCCCTGGAATCTACCCAGTCCCCTGGCCTGGGGAATTAACCCCGGGAGCTGAGGCCGACACGCGAGGCCCAGCCCCTGCAGCAAAGTGGAAGCCCCTAGAGCAGGTGCAGAAAGCGGCTGGAAGGTATTTGGCCAAGTTTCTTCTTGTAGCTGAAGACAAGGTTCAGGCTTTTGACTTTCCCAGGTGTTCAGTGTGGTGGGGAGGAGGCGGCCCCAGGGGCAGGCAGGGCATGGCAGCCCCACGGGGAGGTGACCCCAGTGCCTTCCCCCACAGCAGGAACAGGAGGCCAGTCCTGACCGAACCACGCTCTATAGCCTGATGATGAAGCCCATCCAGAGGTTCCCACAGTTCATCCTCCTGCTCCAGGTAAGTGCTTCACGGTGGCCTCCTCAGGCTCGTCCGCCGCCTCGTCCATGATTCATTTGAAAATGGCATCTGTTCCTCCACTTTGGGGTGGCCGCCCCTTGGGTCTCCCCATCTCCTCTCTAGGCAGTTACAGGAGGTGGGGGGTAGACGCAGGTGGAGACCTGCGGAGAGTCACCCTACTTCGGGGGCAGCTGTAGGGCCCAGTGCCTGCGAGGCCGGCCTTGGGGGACAGCGGGATGGGCTGCGGGAGGGGTGTCCATGTCTCGTGGGGCCCCAGCACTGGGGGGCTGCAGGGCTTGGTTATCAGTGGCCCACAGGTCACAGCTCCCTTCGCCAGTGTGCCTGCGTCTGGTCTAGAATCACATGAAAAATGATTCTTGCCTCTGTGCCCAGAAGGGATGGACAGGCTTGGAAAGCTAAGAATAGATTTAAACAAAACACACCCATCACTGATTTAACAGCAAATCACCGGGGACAGGGAGATGCCGCAATGGTGAAGACACTTTCCACTGGACCCTCATTTTTCTAAACTAAGGATTCTCAATTGGATACCTGTGACTGTGGACATTAGGCCTGTTCTGAGTGCTGACACGACGTCTCACAGCGGACGGCCTCTAGGTCATGTGCTGACATGACATCTCACAGCGGACAGCCTCTAGGTCATGTGCTGACATGACATCTCACAGCGGACAGCCTCTAGGTCATGTGCTGACATGACGTCTCACAGCGGACGGCCTCTAGGTGATGTCTGATGCGATGTGTGGTTGCCCGCTCATTTTCTGACCTTCCCACATACCCTGAAGCTCAGGTGACCCTGTAGGCTGCGGGGCTCAGTGCCCATTTTATTTAAATGAATGCCATGCCTCCAGGGAGGATATTTCAAAGGAGAGTCCGTGCTGGCCTCTGCCTGTGTTGATTTTTCAATGATTACTCAGCTTGCTTTTTCTAATTAAATCAGAGGACTCTGCTTTGCCTGCCTGCTTATTAGAGCTGATTAAGATGAACTGGTGGAATCATTGCCAGAAATGAACTGGCACCTGGGAAATAGTGTCAAGTCCCCTTCCACTGAGGTTTTTATATTTATTTTTGATCAACCAAATCTGCGGCACATTCTTTTTACTAAAAGTAGTCATAAAAGTGTGAAAAAGGATACATACTACAGTATCAACATGGGCTCTTTCCGTGGTTAGGGTGATGGGTCCTGTTAATTTTATCCTCTCGCTTATATTTTTAACATTGTACAGTTTGCCTGTACTAGACCATTAATAACAAAAGCTGGTTTTTTCCCCCAAAATCAAAATATTCAAAGTGTGTTTTATTTCTTCAGCTGACAAGCATGTCCTGAGTCCTAATACGTGTGAAACGGTTGGCAAGCAGCCACGGACATGATGAATGAGTTTCCTCGTGAGAGGGAGGCTGGCGCTTGGGAGGAACAGGGTCAGGCTGCCTGTTAGATGTTAGTTATTCAGCCACAGCTGGGAGGGTGTCACCAGGCTGTGAAGGGGCCAGAGGCAAGGCTACAGTCACGTCCTAAACCATACGAGGGGAACCAGCCCACACACCCTGTGTCGCCTCCTAAACCATAGGGGTGAACCGGCCCACATGCCCTGTGTTTAGCGATGCGCCAGTGAGTCCCTGGGTGGTTCCTGGTCACCCGGGATGACAGCAAGCGCTGACTGTGTTGTGAGGTCACACCCATTGTTGGCTTTCTATGATGTATCAGAATAGTTTTAAAAATTGTTTTGATTTATTAAATTTGGATATAATTTTCAAACGTGCTTGTTAGGTTTTGGTTAAATGTAAGTAACTACAAGTAAGTAAGTAACTACTTTTGCCTAGGTTTTTTCCAAAGTGTGTTCTTTTAGACAGAAGTTGTGGGCGGGGCTGCTGGAAAGGGAACAGGAGAGAGAACCGCAGGGAAAAGCCTCCACCGGGATCTTGAGGAACCTGAGCAGCTCCCACGTTTCCATCGGCCTTTTGACACCCAAATTCTTGAGTTTATTACATAACTGGAATTCTGAGTTTAAGTCAAAAGACTTGCATTTAGAAAGACTCAATGTGCTCTTCCAGATCGTCACCAGCAGTTACGTAGGTCAGTTTGTACACAGCTGTGCCCGTCCTCCTCCCTCCTTGCCTCGAGAGACCCTCCTTAGAATTTCCCACACAGAGTTCGTTGCCCCGGAAGCAGAAAATGGTCTTTGCCTTGATCTGAAAAAACAAATTGCAGGTCCTAGATGTGCCCAGCAGTTTCCCTCAGGGACACTTTTTGCCCACATTTGATGAAACGCTGGCGCATCCTGGAGTGTTCTTGGAGGGGAACAGGGTGGGTCCACGTGCTTCGGAAGAAGCACAGTTGGAGACAAGGTGGTGTCTGCATCTGGTCATTACATGGTTGTGCCTCAGGCGCCCTGCCTCAGGTGTGGGTGCTCAGGGTACCTGGGATTGGGCAAGGAGATGGGCTGCAGAGAGTCGGCAGGTACAAGCACATACCCTCCCTCCTGCCTTCTGCTGTGGTCCGTGTGCTGTGTGTAGGTGGATGGGGAGACAGTGGGGAGGGACCTGGACACCCTCTGTCCCCTTCCTCCCAGCGACTCTCCTGGTCTCTACTTTCCGGTCCTGCCTGCATTTTTCCTTGTTAGCGCTCCCAGACCTTCTTTCTAAGACAGGTGCTGTGAAGCCACAGCTGTCTCCTGGCTCAGGCAGTGAAGCCGGCTCACCCTGGCTTTGCTGGGACTGTCAGTTTCTCCCATGGATTCCGGAAACATCCATCAGCCGCGTGTGACATTTGTCTTACTTTATCCCAGCTACCTATTTCTCTCCGTTGTTGTGCAAAGATAAGTAACAATTTCTGGTAACAATAGCAGCGAGAAATTTCACTTTTCTCCTTCCCTGGGCCTCCTCGGGAGGCTGCCGGCTCAGCAGATGTTCCTGGCTGTGCTCAGCGGCCCCACGGCATGCTGGACTCCACCGTGTGCCGGCTGCTGTCTCCATCGCACGCCGAGTCCCTGGTGCCACCGCCAGTGTGTGGTTTTGATGCAGAACTAGTGTTAAGATTGTTCTTTTTTGCCTTGATAGAATTTGTTGTGACTCATAGGAAACAAATGTATAGAACTGTTTATATTCACTACAAACTGGAAACATTTGATCATTTATGCAGCGTCCTTTCCAGATTTTAAAAAAAGGTTTAAAAAGATAAGCACGCTGTTGGATTCCATGACTGCTAATATTCCTATAAACATGTAAAAGTTGGTAGGCAAGATGCAGAACCACATTTTTTTTTTCACTCTAAGTTCTGGGATACGTGTGCAGAATGTGCAGGTTTGTTCCATAGGTGTACATGTGCCATGGTGGGTTGCTGCATTTATCAATCCGTCATCTAGGTTTTAAGCCCCGCGTGCATTAGGTATTTGTCTCAATGCTCTCCCTCTCCTCACCCTGCACCCCTGACAGGCCCCGGTGTGTGATGCTCCCCTCCCCATGTCCCTGAGATCTCATTGCAGAACCACATTTAATTCTGAGAAAGAGTGTTTCAGGTTCACGTTTGCCCCTTCAGCAAACATCAGCGTGTCAAATGTGAACACAAGCTGGGAAACAAAAGGCCCTGCATAAAACCAAGGTGACGAAAGTGTCCTTTTGTTATTGCCTGTTAAAGTTTATCCTGTGATTGGCAGCAGTGCGTCATTTTTTGCTGGCAGTTGTTGCTGATTTGTGCCACGTACCCTCCCTTTGACCTCCTTGTGCTTATCTGAAGCCTTAACTGGGAGAAGAGGCAGCTCAACTCCCTTTTTTTAAAGATGACTTTTTAAGAGACATTTTAGGGTCACAACAAAATTGAGTGGGAAGTACAGAGATTTCCCAACTACCCCTCCCCCAACATGCACAGCCCCCCCCGCCCACAACATCTCCGCCAGAGTGCATTTGTGACAACCAGGAGCCTGTGTGGCCATGCAGCCACTGCCCAGCGGCCACAGTCACAGGAGGATGTTCCCCTGTGCTGTGCATTCGGTGGGTTTGGATGAACGTTTGGTGACATGGACCCACCATGATTGTGTCATGCATCTTTGCTGCCCTAAAATCAGGTTCCTTTGTCAGTGTGAGAGAGACTCCATCCTGCTGTGTGAGTTGGCACCATGGGTGCAGTATTCGGCGCCACAGAACTCCTGCACATTGGAAATTGGGGGACTGATCTTTCGAAGCAAGTAGCTGGACCCATCTGTGCGTGGGTTCATCTGTCTGACTCAACTTGAGAAGGACAATCTCTCATCATCGTGAGCATCATTCCAAGCGCACGGCAGTTCTGAGATTGTGATGTGTTCATATTTAGCGTGTCCTTTATTGCACAGAGCTATTTTTTCGATTTTGTTTTTGCAAAGGAAGCTGTTCAGATGTTCAGCCAAGTCATGACTCACTCAGCTCATCATCCCTTCCCAAGAACTGACTTTATTTTTCCCCAGGATGACGGATGCCACTGCCTCCTTTCCATCGTCAGCTGGCGGGTGACATGACTGTCGCTGCACTGGGAGTGCGCACGTGGTAACCACCCACCTCTCCCTTCTTGCTTGTAGGACATGCTGAAGAACACCTCCAAAGGCCACCCCGACAGGCTGCCTCTTCAGATGGCCCTGACAGAGCTCGAAACACTGGCAGAGAAGTTAAATGAAAGAAAGAGAGATGCTGATCAACGCTGTGAAGTTAAGCAAATAGCCAAAGCCATAAACGAAAGATACCTGAACAAGGTTGAGAGAGGTTTTCTTCAACTCTATTCCAAAATTATTTTTGCTTTGTACTAATAAGCCATCGTTATCCAGCAATACTAATCTTTTGGAACGTTGGGAGTAATTCCCTTAGCCCAGAGTTCTTAACTGGGGTGGGTGGAGGCCTTTGGGAGAGTCACCCCAATGTGGAAATTATATGTAAAACCTTAACAGCCTGTCTGCATTTTCTTAGGAAAGAGATTCATACATTCATCAGACCCTCAGATAGATCCAGGACCTCCCAAGAGGTTAAGAGCAACTCCCTTAGCTTAATTTTGCTTTCAAAATAACTATCTAATTTCAGATAGTAATAGTTAAAGCTGAAAATATTTACAGGCTGGGCACAGTGGCTCACACCTGTAAGCCCAGCACTTTGGGAGGCTGAGGTGGGAAGATCACTGGAGCCCAGGAGTTTGAGACCAGCCTGGGCATGATAGTGAAACCCCATATCTAAAAAAAAAAAAAAAAATTAACTGGGCACAGTGGCATGCCTATAGTCCGAGCTACTTGGGACGCTGAGGCCGGAGGATTGCTTGAGCCTGGAAGGTCCAGGCTGCGGTGAGCTGTTATTGAGCTGCTGTACTCCAGCCTGGGTGATGGAGCAAGACCCTGTTTCAAAAAAAAAAAATCACAAACATTTTTTGTCTTCACCTATGCATGGGCTAAGCCGTACTGACCCCCAAAGAGATGCAGCACCCAGAGGGCGGCGTTTCATTTGCGAGGCTACATTTCAGCTTGATGCTTATGTAACTACTTGTCTGCAGCAGGCTCTGGTTTTATGTGGGCTTTCCTGTATTCACTGAAGGCCCTGGCTCACAGGGAGATGCTAATTTGTATGAACTGTGTTAAGTTATTGCATCTACTATTCATTGTTGCTAAAATCACTGTTTGTTTTGTCATTAGGAGTAGTTTCTTATGTCACAATGACATTCAGTAATTTAACTGTGTGAACTTTATGGTAATACACCTTAAGCCACATGTTTTTCCCAATTCTCCAAATGGTTTATGTAGGAACATTTATAAGCAGCAAATTGTATTCAGTTATATTCTTGACATGGTTGATAAAATCATGCTCCCTGTGGCACTTGAACCTCTGAATACACGTGGGGCACAGAGCAAGCCCAGAGGCCCAGGAAGAGGTGATGATGCTTCACCCTGAATGTCACGCACATGCCTCATCATTCCCTCGTTCCCATCATTCCCATCGTGCACTCGGCAAGGACAGTCAGGGAGGCGGGTGTCTCGCTGGTTGCTCAGAGCTGGGCAGCAGCGTGGATCTAGAATCAAAAGACAGCACAGACCACTGGGGCTGAGGACTCTGTTTTCTTGTGGGCTGAATTGTTAGAAGTATTGGCCGAGTGCGGTGGCTCACGCCTGTAATCCCAGCCTTTTTGGAGGCTGAGGTGGGTGGATCACTTGAGGTCAGGAGTTCCAGACCAGCCTGACCAACATAACGAAACCCCATCTCTACTAAAAATACAAAAAGAAACCAATTAGCTGGGTGTGGTGGCACACATCTGTGGTCCCAGCTACTCGAGCAGCTGAGGCACGAGAATCAATTGAACCCAGCGGGTGGAGGTTGCAGTGAGCTGAGATTGTGCCACTACACTGCAGCCTGGGTAACAGAGCGAGGCTTGGTCTCAGAACAAACAAACAAAAAAAGTAGTCTGACTTCCACATCGCATGCCATTGTCTTGTTTCATACAAAGCATCTTTCTGAAGAACTAATGGTTTTGGTTTGGCTCAGTGAAGTAAAATATGGCCTACGTGGAGAAGTTAAGATAGTCATTGAACTATGCTTAATTAGGTTGACTTAGGGAAAAGTAAAATTATGAAACAATTCCTTCCATTCCTCACTGTTCCTGGTTAATGTCGTGTTTAAATCGCGGGAGGGCCAACTGTGCGGTGAAAGTCTGTGAGGAAGCAGGTGGATGTTCAGCGCAGTCACGGTGAACATGGGAACGATTTCCGTAAAGCGCTCAGTTTGGAAGAGTCACCCTCAGACTCCATACCAGACTTTTCCTTCTCTTTTTCTTTTCTGGGTAAACTCAACTGTGGTCCCTGCGCTGTGTTTTGAATGTCCAGCTTCTCAGCAGTGGAAGCCGATACCTCATTCGATCTGATGATATGATAGAAACAGTTTACAACGACAGAGGAGAGATTGTTAAAACCAAAGAACGCCGAGTCTTCATGTTAAATGATGTGTTAATGTGTGCCACCATCAGCTCACGGTAAATGCATTGAATTCTCTATAGCAGTCCTATCATTACATGTTACCTTTGCCTAAGGGCACATAAATGACTTTGTTAATTCTGTCACTCAGACCGAACTGGTTTTTTGTGCCAAAGCTTAGTCCTGTGACTAAAGGAACCCTTATAATAAGCAAGCTTATTTTTAAATAGAAGTCACCAAGTCACTGTTAGTAGAAGTTAAGTATGTAGAGGTTTATATACTCTTTAAACACGGCTGATGGTGGAACTAGAAACTAAATTGAATTTCTTCATAATCCTCCTAAATAATTCAAGAGTTCTTTTTCTTATGGTTTAAATTCTTTCTTTACCTGCTTCTCTATAAATATATTTTTGATAAATGTTTAAATATAATAAAGTTGGGTATCTTCATATTTATTGTAAACCAAGAAAATGAGTTATTTTCACTTAAAATAGTTTTACATCAGAATCGTTCTCCAACACGTGGAATATTGTAGTTAGATAAGGATATGTGAGAAGTTAAAAGGTCTTCAAATATAGGTAGATGATAAGGGAATTCATATAAAATTAACTATAACGCTTCTGGTGCTGTAGAAAATAATGCCAGTGAACGCAGTGGCAATTCGTCATGTCTTGCAAGAGTCAAGCGTTCAATCGTCCAGAGTTTTGACAGCCAATTGCTAAACATTTGGTAGCCTGAAGTCATCCACACGGGAGCATTTACACCACGGAATTTGCCCAACACAACGTTTTAGGAGCCTGTCCTCCCAGTGAGAGCCAGCTGTTAAACATTTGCCAGTACACCACTAAACATGCCCTATTTTTCATGCCCATCACCCCCATTTTCCAGTGGCTGGATGTATCTGCCTGCCTTCCTCACCTTGCCTTAGAGACCCAGGCAGCGAGGGTGTGCAGGTCAACCCTCAGGAATCGGACTCCTTAGCGTGAACTCCAGCTCCACTTTCTCTGAACTCTGAAAATTACCCACTCTGACTAGGCCTCGGACTCCTCATCCGTGCAATAGGGTTGATCATAAAATAATGAGTCCGGTGGTACGCTCTCGCGGGGCTCTTCAGGGGTCAAGGCGAGGACATTCATTAAGCTGCCGCAGGGCACCTGGCACACGGCACTACCCGTGAGGGACAGATTTTCATTGTTGCTTCTCATCATCCTCACTTACTTTGTGGCAGCTACAAAATAAGTCCAAAATATATATATACAAGTCTTTAATGATACTCCTCCTCGTAAGAGAAAGAACCCTGTTCATTTGACTCATACCCCATGGCTCAGCCTTCACTGTGGACACCTGGCGACAGCCACAGGCCACCTGCCTTCCATGTGCAGAAGCAAAGCCCGCTGCACCCTGCGTTGGAGAGGAGCTGACAGAGTGAGGCCGTGGGAGGTCGCAGCTGGAGAACTCCAGGTGTGGGCTGTTCGAGAGGACGCTTAGAATTGCGAGGATGCAGAGTAAGGTGTCTCCACCCCTGTTTCCTTGCTGTTATCTTATGAGGTGCTTCCCACAGTGTGGAGACTAATGGTGTTTATCACCTAGCAGGATGGCTTCCAAGTTTAACTGTCCCAGGACCCCCCTCTCCGTGTAATACCTGGAAAGTTAGTGTTCAGTGAAGTGGCCCCAGTGTGGCTGAATCCACCCAGCTCCTCACCTGCACATTGGCCAACATGATGTGTCAAGTTGGGGACATGAATGCTTGTCCCACCTGCCCTGGGAGACAAGATCATAGAAGTGAAATGACCTTGTAAACAGCAAAGTCCTGTGCAAATATAATGGTCCTTGTGGAGTCTTTTCCGCCTTCATAATCAATGTTTGTCTGATACTGACCCCTGCTCCAGAACCGCCCCCACTCCCCGGGCTGCTGTTGGGGAGCGCCAGGACACACTTGGCTCTTGGGCAGTTTTAAGTAGGTTTAAAATTCTCACACTGACAGAAGTGGTGTACTTTAAAGATGAATTAAAATGGATACTTTAGAAGTAACTCAGCCGTGCTTACTGCTAGATTCCTTAAAATAATGCTCCTGCCTTTCCCACCATGACAGGGCTTGAATTTCTTTTTTTGCGAAGTGTGGTGGTGAGTCACAATCATTTCCCATGGACATGTTGTCAGTGTGAGATTTTCAGTGACACTGCCCTAAGGTGATGAGATGAGAACCCATTTTGGTTCATGCCCCCAAGGACCCTTTGGTCGGCCCTGTGGAAATTAAGATTCTAAACCTCCTCCGTAGGGATGGAGATTTTTACATTTAAAGAGGAGGAATCGAAATTTTGGTAAGAATTCATGGGCATTTCTGTTTTTCTAAATTGGAGGCACAGTCTAATTCACGGAATACAACCCGTCTTTCCTCTGTGAATTATTCTTTCTCCTTTCCCTTTCTGTATGGACTGGATGTCGTCATGGAGGGCAGAGTGCTCTGGTGTAAGAGGGAACTGGAGAGCGTGGGTACAGACAGGCTCCTAGCAAGTCAGGTGCTTAGTCCAATGTATAGCACCCAGCATTTTGGTTATTCTTACCACACTTTGATTTTTAACAGCAATATCTTGAAAAACAAAACATGATGATCACTAAGTGAGAATAATGGTTGATTCTGGAGGGTGGGATTTCCTGAGCACCTGGGACTGCAGGAATGCTGGCGAAGTCACAGCCTTGGCCTTGGTGGCAGCTACACAGATATTGACGCAGGCCGTTTCCACTAGACCGTATATACGTGTTTTGTGTTTCTTCACGTATATGTTCTATTTATGATAAAAGAAGAAAATAATCTGTATAAGTCATAGGAGTTTTTTTTTTTCTGTTGAATTTCTGTATACTTGATACATATTTTAGTCATGGAGTATAATGGTATGATTTGATTCTATTAAAATGGTTATGGTGTAGCCATAAAAGAGAGTTAATTCTTAGGAAACCACCAGAGAATATCTCTATCCACATAGGGGACTTCCTGGGAATCGAGCACCTTTGCTCCGAGTCATCAGCGAGCACCGAGCTGCTTCCTTTTAAGCCTTTATGGAAAACCTCGGCGCTTTGAGGAGATCCGTCTCTGTGCCGCTCTTCCCTGCACTCTCTCTCATCCACCTGGAGGCCTCTTTATGGCAGCGAGTGGGGATTCTGTAAGAAAGCCAGAGGCAGTTACTCCTGTGAGAAAGTCTGAAGAGTTACAATTCAGCAATGGAAAGTTTCTCACTTGAATATCTGAGGGACAAACGTTACCATAACGTTTCCACGTAATTATTCCTAAAACAGGCATCTTCTGGTCGTTTCAGCGCCTCTCATGACAGCCGTGTGATGAGCAGCCAGAGGTACTTGCTGAAGTGGAGCGTTCCGCTGGGACACGTGGACGCCATCGAGTATGGCAGCAGCCCAGGCGCGGGCGAGCACAGCAGGCACCTTGCCGTTCACCCGCCTGAGAGCCTGGCCGTGGTTGCTAACGCGAAGCCAAGTAAGTGACGCTTTCTCTCACGTTCGTGCTAGCGTGGAGCCAGCCTAAGTTCTGACATAGCAGGCTCAGGGTTTAACACGGTAAATCTGACGCGCTCTCTCACGTTCATGTTTGCTGTGGGGTCAGCGTAAGCTCTGACGTTAGCCGTGGGGCCAGCGTACGCTCTGACGTCAGCAGGCTCAGGGTCTAACATGGTAAATCTGACGCGCTCTCTCACGTTCATGTTTGCTGTGGAGTCAGCATAAGCTCTGACGTCAGCCATGGGGCCAGCGTAAGCTCTGACGTCAGCAGGCTCAGGGTCTAACATGGTAAATCTGACGCACGCTCTCACGTTCATGTTTGCCGTGGAGCGAGCATAAGCTCTGACGTCAGCCGTGGGGCCAGCGTAAGCTCTGACGTCAGCTGTGGGGCCAGCGTACGCTCTGACGTCGGCCGTGGGGGCCAGCGTACGCTCTGACGTCAGCCGTGGGGGCCAGCGTACGCTCTGACGTCAGCCGTGGGACCAGCGTACGCTCTGACGTCAGCCGTGGGGTCAGCGTACGCTCTGACACAGCCGTGGGGCCAGCGTAAGCTGTGACGTCAGCCGTGGGGCCAGCGTAGGATCTGACATAGCAGGCTCAGGGTCTAACACGGTAAATCTGACGCGCTCTCTGACGTTCATGTTTGCTGTGGGGCCAGCGTACGCTCTGACGTCAGCCGTGCGGCCAGCGTACGCTCTGACAAGGCAGGCTCAGGGTTTAACACGGGAAGTCTGCAGAGGTGATCCAGTCTCCAGGATCTGTACACTGCCTCACTAACATGGTCGAGTCGGCCGCTCATCTCTGACTTGTCCCACGTGCCGCTGGGGCTCCTTCGGGTTCGGGCCAGTCAGAAGAGGATTGCGTCTTCCCGGTCCAGTGAGCTCAGTTTTGCGTTTCCAGTTAACCAGATGAGGACTTCAGTGTTTGTCTCTGAGTGTGTGGAGTTGGCGCAGAAGTCGTCGAGCTTGAGGCGGTGGTGGTTCCAGTTTGGCTCTGTGTTCACCTGCTCGCACTGCCGGGCAGCGTTGTGGTGTCTTTACTCAGTTTCCCCGTGGAGGTAGTGCTTGTCCACGAACTTCCCAAGGTGAAACGAGAGGTATCAGAATGCTTTGGAAATGTCTTAGAATTGCACACGATTTATGATTATTATTACCCAACATTGTTCAGACTGCAGATTTTAATCTTAGTGTAAAAATCATTACCTTCTCTTCAATTTTTAAAAAATCCAAAGAACGACTGGCTAAGTTTTATTCACTTTTTGGCCTCTACCCCTGAATTGTAGGACAATTAAAAAAAAAAATGCATGGGAACTTTCAGTTCACTTTTCATAGGTTAAATATGCATTAATTTTTCAGATTTTTTGTTTCTGACATGTTCAGAAGCAAGAAAACCACTTGAGAACTTTTACCCTTTTCTGATTGAATTCGCATGTTCACCTGGATTTGCAGAACATGATGTAAGGAGTATTAGGTCTCATTTGCTTTGGGATCGCGTTTATTTTTCTCATTCCCCTGATGTTAATAGTCATTCCGTTTGGTAATCTGCCTAGTAGGCTAATTCGTCAAGCATATTATTACAATTTGTAATCTCTTAAATTTCTGACTCTTAAATCCTCCTTCTATTTAAAGTAGTATGCGTCTGTATCAAACCCTCTCCACAAATAACCGAAGTACCAAAACCCAGATTTCCCAAACAAGCTGTTCCTGGGGTGGTGTGGAGAGTGAGAGGGACGACGGGGGGGAGAGGGGACGTGGGGACAGAGAAACGATTTCCAAATTGACGTGATCCATTAACATTTTATTCAAGAGCAAATTGGATGCCTTGTTAAAAGTTTTTAAAAATCCTTTTAAATTATTTGGAAACATTGATTAGCAATCACGTTGATGTTGTGGTTTTGTTAATAACACCTTTGTGTAGTTTATAATGCTAGCGATCTTAGAATTGATTCATAATTAAGATGGCCTTATTGTATTCAAATAGCTAAAGGTGACTTTGATCCATAAAATAGTATGTATTCCATGCAATGTTATATTTTCTTATTCATCTGTTAATGATTTATGCTGAGTTAACTTAGAATAAGATTAGAATCAGTTAGCAATGTGAAAAAAGCATAAAGCAGGGTGATTCAACCCATTTTTAAAATACTGTATGGAGGAAAGAACCTGGAGTGAGTTGATCACTGCATTTGCACTCTAGATTTAACTATGAGCTCCCCATCAGCCACAGCAAGAGGAGAAGCGCTGAGTATGGACAAGTTCTCATTGTCTGTTAAAAAGAAATATGTCACATTGGAGAGTAAATCTTTTTCTTTACTCTGAATCCAAGGAGATCTTTGGTATTGTATCTCCAGTTCAGGGGACTTTGGAACACACCTGAAAACATACATGATAGTGTTTTGCAGACTTGCATTGATTCTTTTTTTTAAATCGTTTCTATGGAAAAAGCAGCTAGTCAACCTCAGTGAAACCAGTTTTTCATGGGACATCATTTTGCCCACTGCCTTAAACAGAGAGTTTAAGTGATAAACTTGTTTTGCCATCAATAGTGTTTTGTTCTTCTAGATTAAAAAAAAACTTTTAAAACAAATTATTTAAAATTTGCTAATTTTGTGTGTGTCTGAAGATAGAACTCAAGTCAGAATTCTCTGGGGCTTTTTTCCGACGTCGGGTAAGAGCATGGTGCTGTCTTGCATTTACAGAGAAGGTGTAAGTGGGCGCTGTGCTTCATGCTGCGGACCGGCACGGGTTCTATCCCAACACGTCTGGATTCATCCAGGGTGGACTGACAGTCTCTTGTTAGCGTCGATCATGAGGGGTCTACGTGGCTTCAAATCCATCATGTTGATCTCACGAGTGCCACGCTGCAGCCCGCGAATGGCGTCCCTTCACTCTGCTCATCTCAGCTCACTCCTTACCGTTTATGCTGACAAAACCCAGGCACATCCATGAGCCACATCTCCATGGGGCTGCCTCTAATGCCTCCCTCAGAGTTTTCATAGAATGACTTCAAATTCACTCTCAGTGTTTCTGTTTCTTCCAGTTCTCTTGCGTTTGCCACTTCTAAATTATATCGAGAAGCTAAGTCAGAAATTCTCGTTCTCCGTTGATAGTCATAGGATTTCTGCTGCTTGAATGACTGTTCTAAAATTCAGTGTTGGAAACGTTGGTGTGTTACTTGATACTGACAGAGTGTAGGCAGCACTGCCCAACAACCTCTGCTTGCAGAGAGGGCCGCGTAGCAGCCACCCAAGACCAGTGAGCAGCTGCAGCAGGGAGCTCCTCATCCCCACAAAAGCGCCGTGTGGTCTGTGCGTTTGCTGTGTGGTGTTAGACTCAGCAGAGAGCTCGCCCGTCCCCGCAAAAGCGCCGTGTGGATTGTGCGTTTGCTGTGAGTGTTAGACTCTGTAGGGAGCTCGCCATCCCTGCAAAAGTGCTGTGTGGATCATGTGGGTTGAGCGTTTGCCGTGCGCTGTTTGACTCAGCAGAGAGCTCCCCATCCCTGCAAAAGTGCCGTGTGTATTGTGCTTTGCTGTGCAGTGTTCGACTCAGCAGATAGCTTGCCCTCCCGGCAAAAGCACTGTGTGGACTGTGTTCGCTGTGCAGTGTTAGACTCAGCAGGGAGCTCCCCGTCCCTGCAAAAGTGCCGTATGGATTGTGCTGTGCGTTTGCTCTGCGGTGTTAGACTCAGCAGGGAGCTCCCCGTCCCCACAAAAGTGCTGTGTGGATTGTGCGTTTGCTCTGCGGAGTTAGACAGCAGGGAGCTCCCTGTCCCTGCAGAGGTGCCGTGCGGATCCTGGGTTTGCTCTGCGGTGTAGACACCCGGAGTTATGATGTGACGCTTTCCTCTCTTGCAGAGGCTGCACGCTGGTGACCATGGGTCCCCTATGGATCCATGGATTGGTTTAAGCTCCCAAACTCTCTGATGCTATTTTGAAAAATGTGTAGTTTTCTGGGGTGATTTTAAAGGTTTTGCGAGCTTCCCTGATCGGGGCTGGTGGCGGGGAGGAGGAATATCAATCGTGAGCTGTCGGTTGCTCTGGCCTGGTGCTGCGTCTTTGTTGGTGCACTCCACCGGGCTGCTGTTCCTTCTCTCTTTGCGCTCCATCCTGTCTGGCAGGTGGATTTATGAGAAAGTAATGTTTGCCGTTGCCATTCTGTGTGTGTGTGTGTGGGGGGGGTTCTTCATGCAGGATCTTTATAACCTCAATTCATTTTCAACAAACGGACTGTCAGGCACTCCCAGTTCTCGAGGTCTCGTGCCAAGTAGGAGTTGTGGGGATGAGTGGGGAGGTGTCGCATAGCCCCACTGTTGGGAGCCTTTAGAACCCGAGGAGAGGTGAGATCAGTTGCTCCAGCCAGGCTCTGGTCTTCAAAGGTGTTTCAGAAGAATGGCCGCTGGAGAGCTGTTACCACCCATCCTGCCCAGGGAGAAGTTATCCGTGTGTGTGTGTGTGTGTGTGTGCACGCACGCGCTCACTTTTATTCAACTGGTCTCAACTCAGTGTACAGGGGCCGCTCTTAAAATGTTTACAGAAATGTGAGTATAAGTCGAATGTACTTTAAAGGGGAACACTCCTTCAGATGTGCAAATATTTGTTTACTTTTGTAAAAATCAGTCACAGTACTTTGTAGTTAGTTAGCTCATCTATAAAAATGAGTGAAGATAAAAATCATCTCTGTTCTTCGCTGTAAGGTCAGCTTTTAACAGAACAGGATTGGCCTCTGATCCTTCTGGCTTTGGTTGTTACTGGACCAGCATCTACCTGGTCCAATACCAGCATCCCGTCCCAGCACTGGCAGCTTTGCCTAGAAGGGCCCCACAGCTTCCAGAAGGCCGCCACCTCCCTGAGTGCTGTTGGACTTTGCAGCAAGAGAGGAGGTCCACTCAGGCTGCCCTGCTGTGAGCTGTTCCACTTTCTGTCCCAGAAGCGCGTCCTGAGTGCCAGGAGTGCTTCTGTACAGTCGGGCTGGATATGGCGGT